TGTGTGTGTGTGTGTGTGTGTGTGTGTGTGTGTGTGGTCTCCAAGTGGCTCCGTGGCCTTTCACGCTGTTCATGAACTTTGCGAGAGCATCTCATGAGGACACAGTCACTGCTCATCCACATCCAGCCAACCAGCATCAGCTGACAGCTGTGCTCTCTCGGTCTCTCCCTCCCACTCTCTCCCACCTCCACACACACACACACACACACACATGGACCACTCAGAGATGGAGCTTCCTCTGAGTTGGTGGTAGTTCACTGATGACCGTCCTTGGCAAAGACCTGCGCCCACTTCACCAACAGCAGAAGCATGAAAAATTCTCCCTTAAAAGACGAATTGGTTTTGATAAATCTCCGTCTCCTGCTGCTTCTCTCAAAACATAACCTGAAGACATCGTCTTTTATACTACACTTGCATGATGTCGGAACAAAAACCACCCGTCGCCACCTGCCTTGCTTTTGTAGTGCCAATTGATAAAACTACAACAATGCATGCGTATGTACTTTAATATCTTAGTTGTGCATTTAATCGGAGAATCAAAACCTTCAGAAGCACATGCGACATGTTACGTTTTGACCGGAGCAGTGACAGGAGAGTAAAACAGCAGCAACGACGTGAAACTCGCTGCAGAACTTTTTGAGAGAATATTTCATCGAACGATGTGAGTCTGTAGTGTGGCAGGAGCAGGATGGAGGTCGGGATTTACAGCTTCCATTCCTCACCGTCTCCTCCACCTGTCCGAGACCATCAGTGACAAGAACACAGTCAGAAACACCTTTAACAATTTGTCTGTTTCCAACGGAGGAGGCTTTTCCTCTGTCTCTTTGACACATCTGGCAGAGCATCCTCTGTTTGCATGTGTGCACATGGATGCTCATCGAAGTGTGTGAACATGTGTGTGCATCTACCTCCTTCCACGTGACGGGATGGGGCGGCTGAGCCTGTTGCCCTTGGTAACAACTTACAGAGGGTAGGGAGAGTACCACCGTTGTTTCTCAAAGTATGGATCGGAATTCAAACCCAGCAGCGAGTTCATCTCTGGCGTTTCACCACATTATTGCAACAGTTCAGTAACGTGCCTGCAACGTGAGAGGCCGAACACTAACGCGTTTATTTTTCATTTCGGGTCCCAGACAGAAACAGGTTCAAGAAGCTCTTCTGTACGACATCAGCCTGGTGACAAAGCCCTGCACCACCACCCCCTTAGTCTGCAGCATGCTACAGCATGCCAAGCTCTCTCTCTATAGTTTCACTCTCCTCTTTCTTTCTTTCTTTCTTTCTTTCTTTCTTTCTTTATGTTTCTGGGAATTACTCTGTTTTGTTTTTGAGTTGTGTGGAGAAAATAATGAAAGTGTTGGAAAGAAAATGACTCGTGGCTCTTGTGTTTTTAATTCCCGCTCTGTGTGTGGTCCAGTGACAACGGACAATTTTTGGGGACCTGCATCAATCACACCACGGGGACTTGTCTTCCTTTTGAGAACACAACGGACGTCCACAGGAAATCATAAGTCATTAGGGTTGAGGTGAGGATGTGTGTGTAAGGTAAGGGAAAGGTTAAGGTAAGTAGGAAGCACGGTAAAGGTCAGGACAAGTCTTCAGGAAATCTAAGTGTGTGTGTGTGTGTGTGTGTGTGTGTGTGTGTTAGGCACCATCGTTGATGCAGAGAGGGCGTGGTACCACCCTCGTTGAGAGGCAGGGATGCGGTTGCCATGGCAACATTAACTGAATTTTCCTGTTTCCTCATGTGTCTGCACGACGTAGTTGGGGCAGGGGCGTGGCTTGTTGGCTGAAGGGGGTGGAGTTTACCTCTGGAGACTAACGTTGTCAATGAACTGATTAGATGGGGGGGGTTATTTTTAGAGAGTGACGTGTTCATCACCTGTGTGCAGACAGGTTCATGTGTCGTGAAGGATTCACATGAGCTCACGTGCTGCTGCGACACACACTGACTGTGACATGGCCTCGTGACGCCATCCTCTGGTCGCAGCTATGAACTACACGACACGACAATGGCCAAACATTAAATCAAGACTTTCACACAGTCGATAAATGTTCTTGTATTTAGTCAGTTGAACAATGAATCTGTGGATATAAATTAGGGCTATGACTAAAATTTATATCACGATAGAAATTCATATCAGATGATATTGATAATTATCAAAATGAGTGTCACAGTATTATTTCTATTAAGTTTTGTTTTAAGTACTTATTTTAAGCTAATGTACTTAGATGCTTCTTGCTGCTCTGGGGTTGTACCCTCATGGTTGAATGCACTTAATGTGATAATAGCATCAGCTAAAAGACGTCATGTAATTGTATTACTGTGTGAGGTTAAATTGCTGCTGCCATGTAGAATATTAAGAATATTTTTTGTGAATCACAGGCCTGAATGTCATGAAGTTACACAATCACATCTTTTCACCCTACGTAAAACTATATAATAATAATAATAATAACAATAATCATAAGATACTTAACATGAACAGGGGGCAGATAAAAACAAATAACTGAATATCATCACACATTTCAACATAATACCCTTTAATTAACACTAAAATGTCTTTATTCTTATTGTTCTGTGAACTAATTATCACAGTTTGTTTTTAATTATTTGAGTATTTTAGTAATCCACGTGTATCTGGCGCTTTAAAGCTCCAGTAACTAAAGCTGAGAAATGTATGAGCGCATGAGAGAAAGATGTGGAGCAGCAGGGCGGCGTTAATCCCTCTGAGCCAATCACGAGAGAGGGATCGGTGACAGACGGGGCTCGCAGCCAATCAGAGCAGAGATCTTTCTCTTTTTTTTTTAATAGTTGGGATAATGTTAAACACAGCTGTTTTTTTAATCGACTTCAGGACTCGTGGAGACAACATCTGACTTCTGAACTGGATTCATCGGTGAGGTTGTGGATCCGCAGCGGGGATTGGTGAGCTCATGTCTGGGTCGTGTTGTAAGAATGTCTCCTCCAGCAGCAGCCTTGTTTTTAAACTTTAACCCCGGTGGCTCTGACGCGCAGGCGGTGGAGACCTGGTGGCGGCACCGCGCACAAACTTCAGGGGGAGCATGAGGAGCAGCTCCACGGGAGGAGTTCGTTGTTTGGAGGAGCTGCTCCGACCAGAAAACCCCGAGAGTCTCCTTGAATGAGGCGGCGTGCTCTCACCTCGTCCACCACCAGGCTGCAGGGAGAAGCTCGGAGGTCCCACCGGCGGAGGGGGACTCGGCGGAGGGACTCCAGACTTCCGCGCTGGAAGTAGGACTGTGGACCGGACAGGCCCCGCAGCTCAACCCGCCCGCAGGGACGCGAACTGCCGCTTCTTCAGCCGGGAAACAAACAGCGAGAGTGAGTTTCAGCCTCGGACCGTGGCTTCAGTGAAAGTTGACAAAAGGAGCTCAGAGTTTATGGCCACTTGAGTGCGCAATTACGCACGCCTTCGTAGCCTGCACACGCGCTCCCTTTGTTGTGGAGTTCACTCTCAGCTGAAAGTGACATTTTGACTCCAGCTGTGGTTGATCCAGCTGTTGTCAGGGTGGGTGTATGAGGATGGTGGAGAGCCAGAGCTGTGTCCAGAGGGAGGGGGTGTACCGCTGGTTCTCCTCCCTCACCTCTGCCCAGAGAGCCGAGTTCCTGTGCGGGCTGCTGGACCTCTGCGTCCCCATCGAGCTGCGCTTCCTCGGCTCCTGCCTGGAGGACCTGGCCCGCAAGGACTACCACTCGCTCCGGGACGCGGAGATCAAGGCCAACAACCCCGCGGACCTGTCGGGCCTCACCAACATCACCGACGAGGTGGTGCGCAGCAAACTGCTCGTGTCCCTCGCCTTGCTCGGCTCGGACAACCGGGAGGCTGCGGGGGTCCTGTACCGGACGCTGACCCACACGGACACGGTGATCAATAACTATGGGCTGGCGCTGAACGACGGGAGAACCGAGGAGCAGTTTCTGCTGCTGTTCACCATGGCCTCCAACCACCCGGCCTTCAGCTTCCACCAGAAGCAGGTGCTGAGGCAGCAGCTCAGCCAGATCCAGGACATCCTGCAGGTGAGAGGGACCGATGCTCAGACTGAGAGCCAGCAGAGGGGTCACATCACCGTGGTCACCTGCTGACCTCTCTTCTATTCAGTCGTTAACACTTCAAGTGAACACATCCTTCCTGTTTCAAAAACTTTAAAGTAGAGGTTCTCTGTTCGCTTCCCACCAAAGAACCACCTCCACGATAGAACATATTCCAGGGACCTTGGCATGTCCCTTATTGGAATTATTAAACACATATAACAACATTTTACTTCTGCTTAGTTATGTGAAAGAATAACTCAAGAGAAATGTTCAGACAAACACTTTTTATCAAGCCAACAAAGAATACCTTTAACTTATAATCATTTTAATGGAAACTTCTCCTGGATCCCCAGGCAGTGTACCACGGACCCATGGAGGTCCACTGACCCACGTTTGAGAACCACTGCTTTAAAGAAATCATTTTATTGCAGATACGAGTTTAACATTTGAATTATAGATGGAGCTTTAATACACAGCACATAGTATTATAGGAAACTCCATGCCACCGCTAATGCAGATAAAGACAAATAATAATATTGATAAAATAAAATAATGAGAAAAATCTCTTTATTTATATATTACCTGTCATTACGGCCCATTACAAAGTGCTTCACAACGAGGACAAATAAAGAAAATATAATAAAAGACGTCAAAGATATGAAGCAAATGAACTCAATTTAAAATCAAAGACAGATTTATATAATACGAAATATAAAATCAAAGACAGCAGATTAAATGATACATCATTTAAACATAACAGAAAAAGAAAAGCGTAAAAGAAACATAAGTAACAGCAAAAAAAGTTAAAAGTTAAAACAAAGTTCATTTCTACAGGGGAAACAATATTTAAATGCTCCCACATAGAACTTGTGTTTAACCACGATATGAACTTAAATTATCCTATTATCTATAAAAAAAAAAAAACTTGTATATATATATAAATACTTATAATACTTGTATATGGAAACCGGCTGTTTCCGGTGAGATGACAAACAAAATAGTCTACAAGCAAAAGTCCAATGACTGATTGAGAACATGTGATCAACCACTGTCTGATCGAAGAGGCGATAAAGCAGATAAAGCTCTGATGACGTGTCTCTGGGCTCGGCTGCGTTCTTCATCATCATAGCAGGTGAAACACAAACCTGCACAGGAAACATGTTTCAAATGAGTTTCACGTTCACACTTAACAACAAAATTAGAGGTGCGACTCAGTCAATGACAGACTGCATGTTAACACAACAGACCTCAGTCAGGTGCTAGTCCAGGAGCGAACAAAGTAAATTACACGTTTGTAAGAGAAAAGTGAGGAGGAGGAGGAGGAGGAGGAGGAGGAGCAGCTGAGGTCAGATTCAAATCATGTTGTGGTTATTGGACTAAAGGATTTCTGGAAACTCGATGTCTTTATAATATAAATAATGATATCGAAAAAAAGCTGTATTTCTAGAGCGCCTTTCAAAACCTCAGGTACAAGGTGTTTCACAAAATAAAAAAAAAAGATCGTAAATCATAGAAAAGCCATTTAAAACAATAAAAAACATCCAAACAATAAATATTTAAACATATTTTACTCTTTTGGCAGCAACTTTAACTTCAAGGCTTCAACGGTTCACGTGTCATGTCTATTACAAAACTTCTTGAAGTTGAGGTCAAAAAAAGTTTAACTATGTGCAGAACTCAGCTATAACCAAATCACATCTTGAGTGCAGGCACCAGCCAATCAAATTACATTCATGCAAATATACAGGTCCTGTCTCAAAACGTGAGAAAGAGCTCGGAGCTCGGATGCAGGTGATGAACCTGGTCTTCATCTGGTTTGCAGTTTATTTCCTGTGTACTTTGCATGGTTAGCTAGCACGGCACGTTAGCATGGAAGCCGGCTATGCTGTGTATCATTGTGACGATCGTGTCAGCTCCAAGCTTCAGACACACCCACGCTCTGTGTGTCGAGTAAAAACTTTTAACCTTTAAGGAGACAAATATTATCAACCACAGCTTCATAACTTTAATCAGTGTTATTTCTCTAATGTTCAGAAAATACATCACTTCTCAAACACTTGGTTTTAGCTCCTGTCTCTTTGAGGCCCCCCCCTCCTCATGAAGCCCAGTCTGCTCTGATTGGCTCGCTGGTCCATTCTGTTGTGATTGTGTGGGAAATGTCGGCCTCCAGTCTGGCTTTACCTGGCTTCGTTAGGGGGCGTGCCGGAGTGCTCGCTCATTATGCAAACGTCTGTACCAGGCAGCCATATTTGTAGTCTCACTGCACCTGTTGGTTGTTCCAGGTGAGCAGTGGAGGTTCAGCAGAGGCTCCATCAGTCGGGCCTGTCGGGGAACGAGCTGCTGCTTGTTTCCATCTGCCGCTCCACCACTATCACCATCCCGGCACGTCCCTGCCTCTGGCCTCGCCGACCCCCGCTGCACGCTCCCTGCCTGAGGCCAGCGCCACCTACCTGCCTCTGTCCGCCTGCCGACCCTGCCTCATGCACTGCACCTGCGGGCACAGGGTAGGGAGCAATGCAACCAGAAATGTGTTTATGTGCTTTAACACATGGGGGGAAGCTTCAGTTTCATTATCATCTGTTGAGTTTGAGGTTAACCGGCTGAAAGGCAGCGTATTTTTGGATTTTTAGTTGCAGATAAAAAAGATAATTCTTGTCTGAGATAATTCATGAGAGTTTTCATGTACGTAGAATAATTTTCAAACTAAATGTAGATATGAAACATTTCTTTTCAACCAAGTCTACGAATTGAAATACAAACTAAGATCATGAATCAAATTTTAAGCCAAAGTTATGAACATGTAGATTGTGGAATAACTCTTAAACCTTCATGTGGAAGCTGAATGATTATAACCGTATGGATCGGTGGCGTCTCTAAACAACTAAAACATTGGTGAACCATAAAATAACGACAGAAGAGTTCACGACGAGAGCCGTGTGCTCCCGGACGTGGTCCCTCTGTCTGGACGTGTTGTGATAAAAGCTGGAGACGGCAGGAGGAGAGAGACGAGGGGATTTCCCAGTGATGCAGAGAAATGACTGGTCCATGAACCTCCTGTTACAGTAACATCTGGATTCATCCTGCACACGAAGGATTCAGAAGGATTATGAATCAGCACCAGAAGAAATCTGGAAGAGAAAGAAACTTTTTTATCAAAGAGAACAAACAGAGACGGAACAAGTTAAAGAAACAAAACACTGGTTATTTTGTCCCACAAAGAAGTGGACACACACACACACACACACACACACACACACACACACACAGACACACACTTCAGTGCTCTCACAGACGCAGGCCGGCACACTGTTTAAACATGTGTGTGCAGTGAAGGGAAAGTACCCAGCTCAGAGAGGAGCGTTTGTATTTAGTGTTTTGTTGCCCTTGGCTCCTGCTTAGTGCAGGTCAGCACATTTCTCTGTGCTGAAATCAACCCTCTGTGGTGTGTGTGTGTGTGTGTGTGTGTGTGTGTGTGTGTGCGTGTGTGTGTGTGTGCGTGTCTCCAGTGAATCCCCAGGAAGTTATAAATGCTCGTACTCTCACTGGCTCTCTTTCCTTCCTTCAGCGCTCTGAAGGGAATGACGGGGTTTGACTGTAAACCAGAGGAATCACACACTGTACGTTATCTACAGCAGAACAGCTTTAACCAGGACTCCTGCCATCTTCTCTAGATATTTATATCTATATATGTACGTTATCATTTGAAAACGCATCAACTGTGGACTGATACTCGTCCACACTGGAGTTTTAGAGACTTTAGTTTGGAAACACAGCTGGTGCAGTTTTATTCTGAAAACTCTGGGGCTGTGTTTTAGTCCGGACGAGCAGAGATGTTTGTAAACGATGACATAAACACTGCGGACCTCTTGCTGATCGGGGTCTTTTCTGATTCGTCAGCCGTCACATGACTTATGAGAGCTAAAAGCCTGAGTGCATTGAATGGAGCAGGCGTTAAAATGTTTGTGAGGACGATCGTGTTAAATCTGCTTTGAAAATATCTTTCTGTAACATCTCAGAATTCGAATATTCTGCCTTCAGGTGGCTCCAACTTTTAAAAACTCTTTACATTATTGATTAACTATTACTTTCAACTACTTCTCATTCTATTTTAAACTCTTTGTTTCTACATTCAAAGCACAGTTTTCTATTTGAAATCTTTTTCTTCAAACCAACCAGTTACTGCAGCTGTAAGATAAATGTAGTAGAATAAAAAGCGCAATATTTCCCTCTGAGCTATAGTAGAGTAGATGTATAAAGACCCATAAATACTCATTAAACTCCAAATCCCTCCAAATTGTACTTGAGTGCTGGGTTACTTTCACCACAGCCCGTAAGACACATTTTACTGCTGCTCCGCAACGCTGCTCCCAAACGCTTCCCTTCAGGATTTGATCTTATTTTAACACAAAGCAGCTGGATGCAGAGTCACTCCAGAGGGAAAAACCTTGGTTCTCTCCAGCGAGATCCAGCAACAGACGATCAGTGGCATGAACTCGCACATACAATACACTGGCCACATCTGCAGGGCCTGTGCAGACCTGCATAATCACCCTATTATCTGAGGGCTTTATATATCCATAAAAAACAATGCCAGTGTCAGAATTAACAGCAGAGTTAAGCTGATGACTGAGGAGTTGCAGTTTGCGCACACACACTGGGTTTTATTGTTTTCACTTGTTTTTACTGTGGTGTTACTAAAAAGCGACGTTCAGGGAGGTTCACGTGTCCAAATATCTGGAATTTATCTTCACTTCCTCTTTTCCTTGTGTCGTCCTCATGATTTTTTCCCACTGATTCAGGACTTTGTGCTGTTTTTACGTAACACAGCTAATTTGTTGCAGAGTTAAAAACCTCCTCCTCAGGTGGAGGCTGCGCAGAGCAGAGAGTTGTCAGGCTGTGTGAGTAATGTGCGGATGTGGCAGTAGCACGCTTAATTGTTTTCAGATCCATCGTGTGTGCGGAGGTGTGTGTGTGTGTGTTTGTGATTCTATGCAAGGAAATAGTTACATATTTAAAACCCCAGTATAGTTTGTATTTTAATTCCAATGTGGTGTGGGCAGGTTTTCTTTCTGAAACTGTAAACGTGACCTGCAGTGATTGAGCAGCAGCAAATGAAAAACCTGCTGCTGCACAAAGAATGGACTCAACAACAGGTACATACAAAAACACAGCATCTAGCAAAACGTTTCAGAAATTGCAATTCATCAAACTAAATGTAGTGATTCGTTCTCTATACATAATATACATACACTACACTGTGAAATAAAGTGGTTGGATTTTAATGACAGACAGAAATATGGGACTGAAATGTGTCCACATATAATTTATATGTCATAAAGACAAATTGATGAGCGTGGGCTGTAGTATTACGTAAACATGGACTTTACAGATGTGTGCAGTTTGGTGCAGAGCCAGATAACACATCTGGATCTAGTGAAATTAAAAGTGGTTTCTTCAGGGGACTGTCGGGCCTTGGCGGAGGTTTGCATTGAGCGAACACTCTAGTTGTTTGGAGAAGTTAAGAGTTGCAGTTCCTAAACGAGGTGAGAAAGGTTTGAAGCGGTGGACTCAGATTCTATGATTTAAACTGTCATCTTGTTCTCCCTATAAAAGCTCCTCGAGGACGTTGCTATAAATAAAAGTGCGGCCTCTCAGTCCATGGTTAAATATTGGTTTTCTCTGCCGCCAGAGCTTTCTCCTCACTGTGTTTTAGCACAGTGCCAGACCCCGGAGACGCCGTTGCTCAGTCTTCTAATTTGTTCAAGCAGTGACAGCACAGAGCTTAAGTGTTGCATTCATCTAAATGGTTGTTGAGCGTCGCCCTGTGTGTGTTTTGGAGTCCACGTGGGAACTGGGAACACTTTGGTTGAGAAGAGACGGGAAACGTTGTGGGACTAAGTCTGCAGAAACAGAGTTTACTTTTTTTTTTTGCATTTGACTCATCTGTAAGCAGAGACAGATTTCACAATGAACGATAAACATGACGCAATCCGATAATTCTGCCTTAGCGTTTTAGTCTTGACGACCACTCAGAGCTTTTTACAGTGAAGTTTTGAGATTCACCCTTTCACACACACTTCAGCATGTGGAATAGGGGAGACGAGGGATTAAACCACTAACAACGTGGTTAGAGGACAATCTGTTCTACCTCCTAAACCACAGCCACACCATGGTTACACCTCTGTTACACCGAAATTACCAAGTTTTGTATACCTTGCCCGTTGCCAGTAGAGGACTTCACCTCTCTGTTTATGTCTGGATGCATCGTGTCTCTTCTGCAGAGACATTGAACCCGAGAGTGAATGCCGATTGAATCCATTCAAGCCAGATGTTAGTAGGTGTTAGTGGGTTTTGTGGCAAAGTAGCACACGTGCTCCAGTACACAAGCGAGCTGTAATCAAGTCCTGTGTCCTGTAGTCTGTGTAGTTCAGGTGCTGCTCTGTAATTCTGACCTCCTCCTCCTCCTCGATCTCTCGTCACTGTTCTGCAGAACCAGAGCAGAGAAGCCGGCACTGCGTCAGGGCCGGGGTCAGGGGTCACCATAGGACGAGGAGACCAAGCAGTAAGCCAAGACCTCACCCCTCCTGTCCCAGACCGGGCTCCTCCTCCCCCTCCCCCTCCTCCTCCACCACCTCCGCCACCACCTCCTCCTCATCTCCCCCCTTCTCTACCTGCTGGACAAGGCCTGGACGCAGCGGCAAAGACCCAACAGGGGAAATCAGGAAAAGGTAAACGACTGTAGAAGAACACACAAAGATCCTGCACCACTTAAATACATATTAGGTTCTACAGTGCGAACATTCTTCACTGTGCTGTTGTGTGTTGTTACTTTGTGCGATCGCAGCGTGCTGCTTGCTCACTGTGTGTATATATGGTTTCACCCCCGCCCTGCATCTGTGCGTGTCGGCATGAAGTGTGTGTGTGTGTGTGT